GCCCAAGTGTAGACCGCTAAGCTACCAGACGATTGGCAGTTCGCGCGCCTGCACTGACACCTACCGACACAACACGTCATAATCATTGGGAATTCTACTTACCTCGCTCCTCCCTCGTGAAGTGTGTGTGCGTGGTTGTCTGTGTGTATGTTGGAGGGGAGTGGGTATGGATCTTTGTGTGTGTGTGTGTGTAGGAGAGGGTGGATGTGTGTTTGGGTATGGATATTTGTGTGTGTGTGTGTGTGTGTGTGTGTGTGTGTGTGTGTGTGTTGTTTTGTGTGTGTTGTGTGTGTGTGTGTTGTGTGTGTGTGTGTGTGTGTGTGTGTGTGTGTGTGTGTGTGTGTGTGTGTGTGTGTGTGTTGTGTGTGTGTGTGTGTGTGTGTGTGTGTGTGTGTGTGTGTGTGTGTGTGTGTTGTGTGTGTGTGTGTGTGTGTGTGTGTGTGATCGTAAGTGTGTGTGTTGATAGGAATAGGGTACCAGGATGATAAGGGTAGCGGGATAGGGCGCACGCGAGTCGAGGGAGGCGGCAGCGGGCACGGCGGAGGGAGTGAAGGGGTCGGTGTCTAGACATGACGGTCGTGACTGCATTTTCTTTTTAAACATTTCTTGTCATCCTGTTCAGTTGATATCATAACAATTGCGGTTGTTATTGTTATTATCATTTCTGGAATAGTTTTATGTAATTATTGATGCTGTTGTTCTGCTTTTCATTATTTAGTAATTACTTTATTATCATTATTGTTTATTTATATTAAATTACATGTTGTTGAATGATACCAGAGAAATGAAGAGAGGAGGAAAAAGAGATGAAGGAAAGGAGGGAAATGGAGAATAGAGGGGAAAGGGGAAGGACGAGAATAATAGAAAGGAGGATGGGTTAGAGATAGAGAGGGAATAAAAGGAGAATGAGAGAGGAGATAAGAGAGAGAAAGAGAGAGATGAGAGAAGAGAGAGAGAGAGAGAGAGAGAGGAGAGAGAGAGAGAGAGAGAGAGAGAGAGAGAGAGAGAGAAGAGAGAGAGGAGAGAGAGAGAGGAGAGAGAGAGAGAGAGAGAAACATCAGAAGAAAAAATGGAGAAAGGGGAGAGAGAGAGAGAGATGGAGAGAAAGAGGGGGAGAGAGCAGGCTGAGGAGGTCACGGGGCGGGGTCGGAACGGATGGCGCAAGGCTGGGGGAGGGGGAGGAGGGGTCAAGGGTCAACCGAGGAGAGAGGGGGTGAGAGGGTGCGGGGTCGTGGGAGAACAAACGCAAGCATGCACACACATTTGCAAGCACGATCACTCGCAGTCACACACATACACACACATACACACACACACACACACAAACAAACACACACACACACACAAGCGAATGTGAAGCTTTACGCGGAAACACACGCTCACATAGCCCTTACACACAAGTAAGAAAAGAAATGTTTTTGTATTTTGTACGTACGTACTTATGCATACGCACAAGAACAGTAAATGCATACCCATCTAGTGTCTAGATATATATTTTAATGGTTGTAAGAATCTTACTACGTTCCTTTATCATTATGTTTATTATGATTATTGCCAAAATGATTATTAGTCTAAACTATTATTATTGGAAATAATGGTTATATTTGTTATTACTCTTCTTGCCGTTATTATTGTTGTGTATGTTGTCATTATTATGATTACTGTTACTATTATTGTCATCACAATAATGAGGATTATAATTTTCTTTTAGTGACTATAATGTTATTACTGAACAAATAATCCAAATGTACAAGTGTGCATATAGGTTGTATCTTCCTCTTAAAGACTTTTCATGTAAATTTTGATATTGAGGCCTGTAATGTAAACTGTCATTTTACACCATTAGCCAGTTTTGCCACCCCCTTTTAAGATGTTGTCAGTTAAGAGGTTTTTCAGTTTAAGAAAATAGTTTTAACTTTTTCTTGGACAGGTTATAGTATCAACTCAATATTTTCATTAACTGCAAATATTTTTGTTCATTGGTATAACCGTATACTCACATCACAGCCATCTCAGTGTTTACCTGTAGGCCTACAAGCAGTAATATTATCCAAACATTTGACAAAGGTAAAACAAACAAAAAACATGTTGCCTGTTTACACTACGCTAGATTAAAAAAACAACAACAAATAAGAGGAAGAAAACAAAATAGAAAATACATGTTCTTACATACGAACACGAACAACGCAAGCACGTGTATGACTAACACACCACCGAAATCTTGACATTCTTACATTCTCTTTACTATTTATCTATCTACAAACAACCCCCAGCGTCACCCAGCTCATAAGGCAAGAAGTTGAGCCACCCCTGGGCCCTGAAGTGGAGCCACGGAGCCATCCTCCCGTTACGTTCCGGCGAAGATACCGGAAGGTTCAAGAAAATTTTGACGCCAGCGAGAGAACGCAGTACTTCGCCGGTCCCGCCCTCGCCCCGACCACGACTAAGGCTATCGACCCGTGTCCTGGATATACCTGGGTGGTCGCACATGGGGTTCGAATGCTGCCCCGTACAAAATTGCGAGTGTACAATAACAAGGAAGTTAATCCGGTGGTTATTAGAGGTTAATGTGGTGGTTATTGGAAGTTAATATGATGGTTATTGGAAAGGGGTGGTTATCATATAGGTGGTTGTGGTTGGTGGCGAATGCGAGTTTGCAGAATCGGTTTCGTTTATTGGTTTAATGGTATGGCTGTGATGGTAATCCAAATGACTGGTCTTCTAATGCTATGGGAAATTGTGTATGTTTATAAACACAGACACAAATACACACTCATACATACACGCACACACATTATCTGAGTCTACACAACACACACACACACACACACAACACACACACCACACACACACACAACACACACACACTTATAATTATATATACATATATATATATATATTTATATAATACCATACACACATATGTATATATATTACATACGCACACACAATATATATATATTATTATATATTTATATTTAATATATATATTATATTTGTGTGTAGTGTGTGTGCTGTGTGTGGTGTGTTGTGATGTGTTGTGTGTGGTGTGTGTGTGTGTGCATGCGCTGTGCCTACGTGTGTGCGTGTGTATGTGTATATAGTGTAAGTTTGTGTGTATATATCTATTTATGAATGTCATTATGTTTGCATGTACGTATGCATGAATGTATGTGTATGTATGTATGAATATAGATAGATATATAGCTATATACATTCATATGTGTGTGTGCGTAGGAGTGTCTGTGCGGGTGTTTGTTTGTGTATGTGTGTATTCAAGTGAATTTTTGTTATATGTGAAACACGCATATTTCACAGGCAGTAATAACGCTCAATAGTCGTTAAAACAGAAATAAAGGAAAAAGAAAATTCATCACATCGCGAGAGCAGTGAGGATGAACACGAAGGCAGTAAAAGCGGCCGGACCAGCATGCGGAAGGGGCTGAGGAGGGCGCGGACAAGCGAGACTGAGGCCTAAGGATTGGAGGGGGGGAAGAGGGGAGAGAGGAGGAGGGAAGGAAAGAATGGGATGGAGTAGGGAGAAGAGGAGGGGAGTGGCGAGGGATAGGAGGCGGTGGGAGGGAGAGAGAAGCGGAGGGGAGCGGTCCGATAGGAGGGAGGAGGGGAGGGGGCGTCTAACTAAAACAACGGGACTGGCGTGGCGTCACCCAAGCTTGTGCGTGTAACAGTGAGGTCTGATCGTACTATTCGCCAGGAACCCAAAAATAATGAAAGCGTGAAGATGAGCATTAATCATTATTGACATTCTGCACATACGGCAGCAGTAACAGTTATAATCACCAGACCGTATAGATTGGCACATACAACCGAAATTGTCAAGGAATATTAAACATCGATTGACAGACATTGTATCCATAGAGATAAATAGTTTTAATCTTGCAAATGCAATTTAAATGCTTCAACGCTGTTGTCTACTCCACCTATATATTAATTTATAAGTGATTTGATTTGGGTGCTGCTCACTTGGAAATTCATTGCATCACATTTGTATAGTCAAAAGTTAAAGAATCTAACACAACTGCAATTAAGCCATACACTTAAAAGAATAACCCACATGCATTAAATGGAACAGACCACGAATATATCAAGGTCAAGTGAGAAACTGAGAGAGAGCGGCGGGAGGTAAAGTGAGTAGGAGGGGAAGTCTGTAGGTTCCTGGGTGGGGAGCGGGGGAAGGGGGGAGGGAAGAGGGAATATGGGAAGGGAGGGGACATGGAGGAAGGACAGAGAGAGCATGAAAAGAGATAAACGAAGGGAGAGGAAATAGAGAGGGATTTGAGGGCCGAAGAGGACAAGAAGAGAAAAGAAAGAGCGCGAGCCTGGGGAATCAGAGAAGAGGCGAGAGAGAGAGAGAACGAAGTACGTGGGGAAGGGGAACGAAGGAGAAAGGGGGTCGGTGCAAAGCTCAGGATTCGAGTCACTGGTAACAGGTGCTATTGCGGGCGATGACAGGTGCAAACTGCGTATTCACGCGTGATGAGGGTATGGCGGAGAGGGCACATGAGGATGTGCGCAGTGAGTAGTGACCATACTTGTACTCTGCTTATAACATCACTAGTCTATTTTTTACTATTACTACCCAACTTCTTATTTTAAAATACTTCATATTACTATCTTATATATATCCATGTTATTTCTTCCCCTTGAGTATTATCAACTCATGCTATATTAGAAACTTCAAACTACTTCTAAAGTCTACTCTTCGATATCTAAA